ATTTGTTATAATACTTTCCTTTAGCAGAGCAGGGTTTGTCCAGTATTTTATAAATGATTTCCTGCCTTGTGGGTTTTAGTTAAATACGCAAATGATAACAGAGAATTGTTTAAAAATGTGCAGCTGAACTTGCGTAGTTCCAGGGTTATTGTCTCAGGTCTTAGAACAGGGGGGTATTTGGTGTAGACAGAAGGGGAGAAGAGTCTATTTTCTCCCTTTTCCTGGGTACAGGCACATTTAGAACAAGAGCAAAATTTGTCTCGTGAACCACATGTGGGATTTTAAAAAACTCTCACTGATCCAGTAACTGCAACCTCTGGGATTTCAGTATAAGTTTTGCCCTGAACCTGCAGCATTTTGGCCATTATTTTGCTGCACAAAATGAGTGACCTAATTTCCTGATGAAGCCCAAATGAAGGGTTTGGATAACAAACAGATTAGATATTTGGCATCTTTACAAACACAGTTAAAAGACTGAATACACAACAGAACTTAAAACAAATAAAACTTGCTCTTGTCTCCTGGGGCCCCAGAAGTTCTCCTCCAGACAGACGTCAGACTTCTACCAATTAGAGCCCATCAGAAGGCCATCACATAGCAATTAAAACACAAACAAATTCACCCAAAGAATCTCCCAAGGACCATTTGCCAGTACCATGCTGTGTCCAGCTCCAGAACTGACAAGGCTGGGTTTGTAAGCTTTGCAGGCATCCCAACACGCTCCCTCTCTTATATAAGTCGCTTTATGGAGTCCCCAGTGCCTTCACTTTCACTCTCGCCCCTAATGTTCATGAGGGTCTTGTGGCATACGGTGCCAGGTAAGTGGGCCTGCCTCAGGTTCTCTACCTTGTACTGCTTCCACCCACCCAGGGAGGGCCTTTGCACTCGCTGTTCTCGCTGCCTTCTCAATCTTCCTGCCCTTTTCAGCCTCCCACCTCCTACTCATTTTCAAGGTCTTGGCTTGAAATATCCCTTTATAGGGGCACCTTCCCTGGCTTCCCAGACTAGAGCAGGGGCTTTATAACACATGCCCATTGTTCCAAACTTTCTCTTTGCAGCACTTGTCACATCTTGTCATTGAATGTTTACACTTCTATTTGGCACTGTTGGTTTCTCTTTCTGGAGAATGAACTCCACCAGGGCAGCAAGCATGCTTGCCTCACTCATCTCTGAATGCCCAGCATGTAGCAGAGAGCCTGGCACACAGCGTGGCCCCCAGTTTCAGTGGATCAGTGAAAGACAGTGATGCTATCCTCATTTTACAGGTGAAGGAAGAGACCCAGAGAAGGAAGTCACTTCTCAAGGCCACAGCCTATCAGTGGAATTGCTGATGCTTGAACCCAGGAGTCCTGGCTCTCAGCCATTTCTTTACACTCCTGAGCTACCCAGGAGCAGGGTTTTCTTGCCACTTCTGGGGTATATCATATTGAATCCTGGTGTCCCCACTTGGTGAGGGTGTCCAAGGCCCAGATCTCAGCGGTAGCAGAACCCCCACAAGACACCCACAGCCCAAGTGAGCTTGACTCTAGCACTGCTTGGCCTGGTCCCCCTCATTCCAGGATCACTTAGCATCCTTTGAGGCAGGTCCTTGAAGGCCCTGCAATTACTCCCACTCTCCCAGGAGCCAGGAGGAGAGGGATGGGGATAATTAATGAGAGGGTGACAGGCCCGTCTTCATTACTAAGAATATCTCCCACCCTTGGAGGCATTTCCGCTGTAGGTTTAATGGTGCATTCTCTCTCAGGATCGCAAAGCTGTGCACTTTACTTCCTTGCTCAACTCTTTCAGCATCTGTGGGAAGCTGGAAGAGTGAAGGCACTAACCTGTGAGGCTGTGAGCTCCATGAGGGCAGGGCCTTTGACTGATTTGCTCACTGCCACACCTTCAGTTGTGAGAACAGCAGCAGGGACGCAGTAGACACTCAATAGATATTTGCTAAATGAATGAATGAACAGGGAGCTTCCCATGTGTCAGGAAATTACTACACCTATCTCTCATAGCAACTGTTCTCGGTCCATTTTACACATTAGGCAGCCAAGGTTCAGAGAGTTAAGAGACTTGCCCAAGGTCAAAAGCTTAGTAATCAGTGGAGCCAGCATCTCCGCTGAGGCACTCTGGGTCAAATCACCAAACAGGGAAAGATTAAGATTAGGAATTCAGGCAGAGAGGCAAAGATGTGGTTTACTCTAGTGATATCCAGGTAGGGATGAGAATGGGAGGGCAGTTTCAATACTAGGAGGTGTGTTCACCAGGGAAGGAGGAGAGGAATATTGTGCAACAAATTTTCAAGCCAAGTGCAAACTCCAGGTTCCCATGGCGGTCAGGATGAAGGTATGGTGCAGGTTGCTGAGCCTCGTAACACTGGGTCCTGCAGTAGGAATCACTCAAGAACCCAGGTAACGAAGGATTGGTGTGCACAGTAAGGGGCAGGGACCTGAGTATCAGGCAGGGCCTGGGTCCCAGGGGTAAAATGGAAAGAGCCCTGAAGGGAACTGCAAGGCCAGGCCCTGCTCTGCCCCTGCATGCTCCCATTCTCACACAAGTCTCTTCCTTTCTCTGGGTCTATTTTCCCCATCTCTGCAATGAGGGTTGGCACTTTACAGTTTAGAGTGACTCTGGGATCCTTACTCCTCCAGCATCAGTTCATATAAGTAAGTAGGCAGCATCTTAGAAATGGTCACTTTGTTTAACCTAACCTAGGAATTCCTGCTCCAGGATTCTTAGCAGATGGCACAAGTTTCTGTTGGGTAGCTCTAAGCCAGTGGTTCTCCATTGAGGATGATTTTGACCCCCTGGGGACATGTGGCAATATCTGACACATTTTTGATTTGTCAGTGGGAAGAAGCACATGATTGGCATCTAGTGGGTAGAGACCAAGGATGCCACCAAATACCCTACAATGCACAGGACAGCCCACAGTGTCACCAGTGCTGAGGCTGAGGAACTCGGCTGTAGGCACAGGGGGACTCATTGCATCTTGAGGGAACTCATGGCTGTGGGCATTGTGGCTAGGACAAGCTGATACTGACACACTCCCTGTAACTGCTGCCCTGGCCTTAGATCTACTTGGAGGAAGGGCCCTAATTCCTTCTCAAGATGGCTATCCAATCACAGTGACTCCACCAATGACATTCACCTGTGGGGGGAGTACGCATGGGCCAGTGTCAGGGCTGGGGGACCAGTGCCAGGAGCACAGGACCTTAGGGAGGAGGCCAACAACTCTCATACAAGCTGGAGGGGACTGGGGCAGACAGAGGGCTGTGGGGATGTGGGGAGAGGGGACTGTGTTAAATTGTGGGTGGGGTTGGGGGAATCTTGGGTGTCTATGAAGCATGTAGTGACTGAACTGGGCCTCAAATGACAGGATTTCCAGAGAAGGGCACAGGAAGACAAGGGAAAGGGCCATGAGTTCATTTCAAGGCCAAAGTCTTGCCACAAGGCCCAGTCCATCCACCCTGCTTGCCTCCCAGCTGCATCTCACCTCCATCCGCACCCCGGCCACACAGGCTGTGCTCGCCCTCATGCACTCACCATTTCTTCACCCACCTCAGAGTCTTGCAAGCTCTGTCCTCTCAGTTTGGTGCATCCTATTCTGCGTTTTGTTCAGTTGCTACAGTCTGGATGTTGGTGTGTCCCCCACATCCATATGCCAAAACTCTAACCCCCAAGGTGATATTCTTAGGAGGTGGGGCTTTTCGGGAGGTGATTAGGTCATGGGATCAGTGCCCTTTTTTATAAAAGAGGCCCCAGAGGGCTGTCTTTTCCCTTCCATCATGTGCGGACACAGAGAGAAGGTGCCATCTCCGAGAAAGTGGGCCCATATCAGACACCAAATCTATTGGACCCTTGGTCATGGACTTCCCAGCTTCCAGAACGGTGAGAAATAGACTTCTGCTTATAAGCTGCCCTGTCTGTATCTCAGTCTGCTCAGGTTATAACAGCCCCGATGAACTACAATACCACTTAACACCCGCTCATGGTCTGAATCTCTGCTCCTGGCCCTTCTTCAGGGAGCCCTCCTGGATACTCCTCCTACCCCGTTACGTGCTCTCAAAGCCCCACACTTCTCTCCTCCATAACACTTATCATGGCTGACGTTTATTTGTGTGATTATGGATTAATGCCCATCTCCTTCAGGGGACTGTAGGGCTGGGTGAGCCTCACCACGGATGCTGGCACAGAGCCTGCACATGGCAGGGCTCAAGGAACAGTCGCTGAGTGGATGAATAAACCATCAAAAGTTGGCTTTGGCAGCTTAGGTGTCGGGTATGTTCAAGGCTACAAAGGAAGCCTGGGGCCTCGGCAAGATTTTAAATGCTAGGCTGAAGTGTTTGTAGCTAAATAGGCAGACAGACAGGAAGGGACCCCAAAGAGCAGGGCAGTGCCAAGAGCACATGATGCCCTGGGATGGTGGCCTGGGCGGAGGGTAGAGGGCTGAGCAGAATCTGGAGACTAATTAGGAGACTGTTGTAAGAATCCTGGGGTAAGAGGGCTGGGAAGCAGCAGAGGGAAAGCAGCTCTGGTTAGCTTTGTGGGGACGACTGACACTCCTCATTCCTCTGTGCATTCTAAGAGTCCCTGGGAAGCCCCGAGCAGCAGCCTGGCATGATGCTGTGAGATGTGGGGAGAAGGAGGTGGAGTAGAGGCTGTGATGCTATAGACACTTCGCAACCCAGGCATCCCTCTGAGGTTCTCTGACCCCTTGGCCCTGTGCAGCTCAGCTTTCCACCCCCAGGCAGAGCCAGGAGAGTCTGCTCAGAGCACTGCCAGGAAAGCAGGCCAGCTGGGCAGCGGGTGGAGGTGCACAGAGACGGAAGGCAGATTACATGTCACTTCGTATTAGCCACACCGGCAACCTTCCCGATCCACCCAGAGAGGGGCCAATTAATTGCAATTCTGAGGACGAGCCAAAAGCCAAGATAACACTGAACCTGAAGGAGACTGCATCTCCTTTCCAGTCATGAGCAGATCGGAAGGCCTGACAGAGGGTCAGGTTTGCTTACCTGTGAGGTACATCTCCTCTCCTTCGGTGAACATCTGGTGGCAGCGTACACACCTGGCACAGGTTGGGTGGTAGTGCTTCCCTCCTGCCTATGGAAATGAAGAGATGAAGCAGGAGGTGAGAGCCAGGGCTGCTGTCTAGTGGGGCAGATTGGGTTTCAATCTTTCCTGGGTACATTAGTGTTGTTCGCATCTTCGTGGCCCTAAAGTTGGTTGGAGTTACCCAGGGGAGTCCACAACCATCTAAAAGCCCAGCCAGGAAGCTTCCTGATTCACTCCATGGGTCCCTGATGGCAGTTCAGGGGACTTCCCTGAATACCTACTCTTTTATTCTGACACTGGGAAGGACCCTTCAGAGGCCACTGGTCCAACCTCCTCATTTCCAGAGGAGGAAACAGGCTTGCTTTGAGGACATTCCAGCATTTCCCCAAGTGAGGGGCCCTTAACATCAATGTTACATGAAATGATTTTAAGTGGTACATGAATTTGGGATTTAATAACATTGAATCAATGGAAAAAAAAAAAGATCCTTTCAGTCCTCTATACATTCTTCTGATTTTGTCAATGAGGAAGTACCAGTTCGGTGCTCATGTGTCTTTAACATCTATCCAAAACTTACAAATCTGCCTTTTAAAGAATGAGAACAGGTGTGAGGCTTGGAACCTCCTCGTGCAGTAGAATCCAGCTAGAACTCTATTTTCAGGTTATATGCAATATGGCAAGTGATACTGGCTTTCCTGTTATGTCGTGTATAAGTTTTCTTACATATAAGGGGGCCAACTTCAAGACAACTTAAAGTATTATGGAAGAATGAGCACATGAGGCTCACAGGCATGGCAAAAATTGGAGACTGGCACACAAAAGACAGATTTTTAGAGCTCAGTGGGTGATTTAGGACCCATTGTAGAACCCCAGATCCCCAGGCCAGTCCTGTGAGTCTTGCACCTGGGTGTGTCCAGCCCTACCCCAGCTCACCCCAGTGTGGCTTTGGTGAGTGCCTTTCCCTATTTTCACTTTCCTTCCCCATCACTATTTAAATTAAAAATAAAAATAATTTGCAGCTGCACAGACTTCCATGAGGGGAAGAAACAGCCCCTGAGAAGGGTGTGCCTCAAGGGTTCACCGCAAGCCAGCAGCATGTTGGGTCCGGATCTGTGTGAGCCAGTCACCAGCTCAGCACTCGCTTCTGGAGTCACAGTTCTGACACCAAAATCCCAGCCAAGAGGGCTTGTTGTAAAAGGGACCTTTAGTGGCGGCTCCAGCATTTGTATATGCAGGGGCTTGGTGCAGCAATTGGGCTGGCAGGTGGGCCTTGTTTGAAGAAATATTTTGCAACATCAGGGCAGGGTTTTCTTTGTGGGAGGGTAATGCCCAGGGGAAACTGATGGATGTTAGGGGTTCTTAAAGGTCCCTGTCCAAGCCGTCACTTGATGTGATGCTAATGGGTTCCTTCCAATTCAAAAATTATAACTGCGTAATAAGAAGACCTATTTCCAAAGTTAGGTTTTTTTTTTTTTTTTCTTTTTTTTTTTTTTAATGTGGGGGCAGTGGAAGATTGTTGAGACGGGCTTGCCTATTCTGGAGATATTCTCTCTATTCTAAAAACTTAGCAAGAATGTGGGAAAGGCAGATTTTTACAAAAAGAAAAAAATCTCCAATATTCCTTCTTTCCCCCCGTTTGTTTATATGGCCTCGCACCAGTGAGACAGTGTCCTTGTCATCATCAAAGCAAATATGTTCAAACTTTGGAAGGAGCCTGCTATTTCCCCAAGCTGGAATGTGTGGGACTGATTCCCTTGTACCATGACAAGGATAATCGGTTTAATTAGCAGCCTCTTCCTACTCAGTGTCTCTTTATCATTTCGATTATAGACCTGTTTTCCAGTGTGGCAACAGCGCCTTGGCAAAACTGAAGCCTAGCATTTTCCTAAATGTCATGCCCCACTACCTCGCCCCAGCTGAAAGAGGCTTCATGCCCATCTCAGCATCCCCAGTCTTGGATGGTGCTGAAAACAGTTTGAGCAAAGGGAGGTTAGGGCAGCCAGCACCCAGAGTAAGTAAAAACCACGTCAGCTAGCTGAGATGAGCCATTTTGTCTATTAGTGAACTGTAATCAGGCAAATAGTTAAGAAAAATGGCAAAAAATTGGTACCTCAAAACAGAGCCCTATTTGAGAGGACTGAAAATGGCAAACCAGGTTCAAAAATGTAGCAACAAGTAACAGGTTGTGGTCCTTTTTGGTGAGGAAACAGACAAGGATGGAAGAGTGACAATGACAGTCATTGAGCTCTGTCACTGAGGAAGGGACCATGGGGTGGCCTAGGGAGGAAATGGGAAGGGACAGGATGAGAAGAGAAGGAGAAACAATTTAATTGAATGCTTGCAGTGTGCCAGACGATGTGCTGGGCTCTGCCTTAGGCCACTGTTGTTCCTGCATGGCCATCATTCTTTCCTTCTTCTTCCAGAAACAGTCCCAAGCCTTTCCTTGGTGGGGCTACCTCTCCTCCATATCAGTCCACAGGGTTAAGTAGTGCTGACCTCACCAATGAGCATATTCCAACTTTGTGGGCACAGTTAGCGGTCCAGGGATGGGCCTGAGATTGTCCAATGAGAGTTAGTTCCAGAATGCTTGCTGAGCTATTAGAAAAGAGAAGCTCTTTTTTCCATTGGGGATGCCGGCTGATAGAATCTAAGCCTGGGGCAACTGGTGTCCAACTTTCCTATCACCAAGAAGAACCTCCTGAGAATAAACTCAACCTGGAAGAAAGTAAGCCAAGATGGCTGGGGATTCTAAATGATTTTCCTTAAACACTGGATCCAGCTCCTGGGCTTTTTGTTATGGGAGCTGAGAAACTTCCTTTCTGTTGCAGCCCAAAAAGTCTTGACTAACATGTTCATTAGGAATTAAATGACAGTAGTATTGTCTATTGATAGATACAGACTAAGAGGACGTATCTTGCTTAAGGCTTCGGAGCTAGAAGTGGTAAAATCTGAATCCAAGTCTGTTTTACTGCAGCCATGTCTATTTCCTGACATCATGCTAACTCGAAGACCCACGAGTGGGGCTGAGAGCTGTGGGTATCAGTGTGGATATAGCAGCCTGGAGTCCTAGATTTTAGCTCTGTCTCTACCAGAAGTGCTGCTTGTGACCTTGGAAAAACACTGCATGTCTTGGTCTCACTTTTCTCATCTGTAAAATGAAGAGGTTGAAGTAGTTGATTGCTAAAAGTCTCTTCCAGCTCTAAGAAAAAAAAAAAATCAATAAATTCAAGATGCTAATGGAGCCCTGTAGAAATGGAATCAATCGAAACTCAGTCACAAGAGCTGCCTGGGAGGAACAGTCTACCACAACGCTAAACAACAGTAACTCTCGGGGAAACGGCAGCCGCCACCAACAGGATTTCAAAGCAGCTTGGAAATGCTGAACAAATTCCCATCTGCGGCCCCATCTGTAATCTAAGTTCTCTCTTTCTGGAAAGAAAAGTTTCCTTTTGTGCTATTTCCCACTCCATTGACCCTTCAACCTACTACACTCTGGATGCCTCTTCCCCACAGTTCTGCAAAGCCAACAAACGACTCTTCTGAAGGTGACCTTTCCCACATCCAACAGCTTTTCCACAGCCCGCGCAGTCCTTCACTGCTCTGCAGAGTTTGACCAACACTCTGACCTCGCCATGTTTTCTGAAGCTCTGTCCTTTCACTGAATCCCTGATTCTCCTCCTATATCTTCCTCTGCTACCTCCTCAGTCTCTTTTTGAGTAGCTTTCACTGTAAGCAGCTGCTCACCAAGGTTGGTGTCAGCATCCTTCCTTGCTCTCTTTCCTCTGTCTTGGAAATCCTGAGTGGTGCTATTATTCAAAGCCTCGTGTTTATAAGATTGGCTCCTCCAGGCTGAGCTTTGTTCCTGAGCTCTGATACATATTTCTTTTCTTTTCTCATTTTTCTTGCCTCGGACAGGATCTTGCTCTCTTGTCCAGGCTGGAGTGTAGTGGTACAATCTCAACTCACTGCAACCTCCACCTCTCAGGCTCAAGGGATCCTCCGGAATGGCTAGGACTACAGGCGTGCACCACCACGCCTGGTTAATTTTGTTTGTTTTTTGTAGAGATGAAGTCTCACTATGTTGCCTAGGCTGGTCTTGAACTCCTGGACTCAAGTGATTATCCTATCTTGGTATCCCAAAGTGCTGGGATTACAGGTGTGAGCCACCGCTCCCAGCCTCTGATCCATATTTCTGACTGCCTTCTGGAAATACTCCTGGGACTTCAATCACAACTCATCCTAAATGGTACTTGCCATGTTTCTGCCAGATCAGCTTTTTCCCCTGTCGTCCCCAGTTCTGCCAATGACACCAGGCTTCCTATCCCTCAAAAATAGGTAATTCTTTGGTGCAACTTTTAGCTGCTTCTCCTTCAATCCTCATGTCTGCAAGCTGCCCCTCAGTTGCAGAGTGATTGGAATTCTACTTCCAAAGGGCTGGGCACAAGCGTGGCTTCCCTCTTCATTGCTACTGTACCTCTTGAGTCCTTCCTGCCTGGGTCATGCAGGGGCCTCCTCACTCGTCCCTTCCAGCTTCCTTCCTTTAAATGTAGCCTGTGTACATTATCACGTCATCCTCCCGGAAGCCCAGCTCTAACCAGGACGTTCCTGCCCAGTCTCTCCACAATGCTCCCTTGCCCAGTGAGTCACATGTGAACTCCACCCTGGTATCCCAGGCCCTCAGAAACCCACCCCCAACAACCCTTCCTGGACTCATGCCTTGTCCTCTGCACCGCACTCCTTACGGCTCTCTGGAGATGCTTAAATGTTTCCCAGCACTGTTCGTTTGTTTATATCTCATTGTCTCTGACTCTCTCCGTCAATTCTCCACATAGTAACCAGAGGAATCTTTTTAAAAACATGATCTTATCATGTTTAGTCCTTGGTTTAAAACTCTCCAATGGCTTTCCATTGCATGCAGTATAAAACCCAAACTTCTAAACATGGTCCACAAAGTCCTACATGGTATGCCATATATGATATACTCCTATATTTCGTCCTCCGCTACCCTCAATTTGTAGAATTCAGCCACACTGGCAGACTGGGTCAGCTACTGTGAGCAGAATCATTAATTCAGCCAAATCTGGACACTTGGTTGTGGTTACCATGAGTGCTGTGTTGAGAAAAATCCTGCAGCCACAATTCTGTGTGGGTTCTCTGTTTTTGAATGGGTCAAGCTCATTCTTCCTCTATCTCTTTCCACCTCAGGCCCCTTCAGGGATGGCTCTTTCATCCTCAGGGCTCTGCTTCAATGCATGCCCTCAGAGAGTTCCTTCCTGGTTGCTACATCCCCTTCTGCTGAGTCCACATGTGGCGGCAGAATTGTTCTCAACAAAGCACTCATGGTAACCACAACCAACTGGCCAGATTTGGCAGAATGAATGATTCTACTTACAATACCTGATCCAATCTGATCCTCTAGCTATTGTTAGATGGAAAAACTGAGGCCTAGAAGAGCAAAGATACTTACTCAAAATCCAAGCAGGAGTTAGCAGTAGAATCAATATTAGAGCTCAATTATTCCTGTTAGGCTATTATTTTTCCTTTCCACTGAGCTCTTCCCTGTTTCTAATTCATCAAGGTGGGTGGTCCCAAAGTTTAGGAAGATAGCTTCTAGACCCACAGGGTATAGGAAGAAAGGCCAGAAAGACCAGTGCACAGGGGTTCAGCAGGGCCTCAGCAAGGGTGTTGCAGGTTGTCTGTCACTGCAGAAGGAGTCATACACTGAAGGCTGGGGAGAGGCGTTGCCATGGTGATGGACCCGCCAAAGAAGGGCTTAGGGAGCAAGCTGCTAGACAAGCTGACTCTTAAATCAGCACATTACCAAATACTAAAAAAAAAAAAAAAAAAAAAAAACATAAAAAAGATTTCCATCCTCCGGCAGGGCTGGGAGGAAAATCCTAAAGTCACTCTCTCGAAATCTGTCTGGGTCCGAATCAAAGATACAACTGATTTTCCCAGCACACTATTTTTTGAACCAGGAAGAATTTTGTCCACCTTCTCATTTTGGGGTTTCCCAGAGATCTCAGCAAGGTTATCTGCTGAAGGTCATGTAGCAAGCAAAGGTGGAGGAGGTAGAGGCTATAGAAAAAAAGGTGTGGGGTGACTTTCTCCTTCTTCTGTGATGACTTTTTGGAGGCACAGGTCACCCTGCCACATCTTCACGGTTACTTATACCCACTCACCTCCAAGACTCTGCCACTGATGTATCGGTCACAAGTCTCACATTTAATGCCAAACTGGGCGTGGTAGTCAGACTCGCAGTATGGAACACCATCCCTGCAAGAAGAAGTTCACACAGGATGAGGCAGCTAGAGAGGACCAGTGAGGGTGCGCATGGCAGTTAGATTCAGGACCTGCAGCCTGTGGTGACTGAGCCAAAGTTCGATGCTCCTCCTTTAATAAACAATTTCATCTGTATGAAAGAATCATCTGACTGTGCTCCCAGATCAGTGTATGACAGGAAGCCTCCTGGGACCACCTCCCGTGTGCTCCATTTTTACCCAATGCTTATCACTTGGCGGACAGTGATAAGATTGTTATCTCTTATTCTTATACTACCCCCTATGACTAATAGCCACTAACATTTCTTGCTGGTGTGTGCCGGGCTCTTTGATGGTGTTTGACGAACAACACTTTGAGTCAGAATTATTAGTATCCCCATTGTGTAGGTGAGAAAACCCAAGCATAGAACACTTTAGTAACTTGTCCCAGGCCACCCAGGATGACCTAGAGCTGGGATTCAAACCCAGGTGATCTGGTTTCTCACCCAGGTTGTCATGAGGATTAAAGAAGATGGGTCCGGTGTACCCTAGGGCTCAGGACAGTGCCTAGCCATACTGAGTACTCAGCAAATGGCAGCTGGAGGTCGCCATGATTGCTGAGAGGGGGTCTTTGAGGAGGACATTTGGTTCTCAATTCTCTAGGACTGATGTAGAGATAATTGGGGGCATCAGAGAGCTTAGCTTAGATTCTGGGCCCTGCCTCACTCTAATGACCAAGTCTGAACTCTGAGGAGAGAGAAACATTTCTTTCACTTTTGGGTGTAAGAGAACTTGGCTCAGACACTGAGAGACCTAAAGGAGAGGCACATCACTTTTCTATCTCGAAGCTGTTGCCCTGTTGAGGTTGCTGGGGGTCCACCCTGACAGAAGCAGCAGTGAGGACTCCTATCTGACCAAGGTCTGCAGGTGTGACTGTGCCCACAAGGCAAGGACTTGTTTGTGAGCCCTTGAGACAAACCTCCCCCAACCCTTTCAATTCCTCCCCCGCTCAATCAGGTTCTCACTCTGTGGGTGCGGGAGGATAGCTCTGCAGGGAGAAAAAGTCATTTGTTAGAAGGTGGATGTGACGAGCCAACAAGATTTGAGTATAAATGCCAACACAATCTCTTTTGGATCCATTGTTAGTGAGGCCTTGGGGAATTAGCAATACACAATTCTAAAAGAGGATGGTAAAATGAGTATTTACTGGGCACTTATTGGGTGCTAAGCACAGATCTCTGAGCCCTTACACAACCCTTTGGGTAGATTATCTTCTCTCTATTTTTATAAATGAGGAAACTGAGACTCTGAGCAGTGGAGTCCCTTGCCAAGGTCACACAGGCTGGGCTTCTACCCTCGGCATCTGATGCCTGAGCCAGTGCCTCTGAGTCCCCTGCCACTCTGCCAGCAGCCAGGTAAGGGGCCCAGAGCTAGGCTGTAGAGATACCAGGTGTGGTAGGCAATCTGGGCTGGGCCTCCTTGAGAGGAGCTCTGAACAATCCCTTAAGTTCCTAGAGAATTCTGATTTAGGATTCCAGACTCAAGCACTCCTGGCCAGCAACGTACTAAAGGCACTCCTTGCTTGGCAGGCATAGAGGGGAATGCCAAACTCCTGCTAGCATGGCATTGAGAGCTCTTGGTGATGTGACCTCAACTCACCTATGCAGCCCAGGATCCAGCTTCACCTGGGCACATATTTGAGCTCCTATACAGGATGGAGATGTCCAACACTCACCTACCACCCTGGCCTTGCCCAGGCTGGCCATTCTGCCTAGAAACTCTCCTTCTTTGCATTTTTGAGTCTTACCCCCACCTTCCATGGAGCTCTCAGAGATTCAAGATTCTACTTCATGCTAGTTAGTAGTCATCTCTTTTTTCTCTGAATATTCACAGCCCTTTACTTGTTATCTTGGACACAGGCAGGTGTTGTTTGGCCAGCATCCATTTCCCTTCTGCTGGTAATAGTACCTCACCTGGATTTCCCTTTGGAAGCCACCCCTTCCCAGTTGAGGTCCCTGTGGGTCATCAGGGGCTACTCTCTGGCTCTAGGGTTCAGATCCTCTGGGTCAGTGATTGGTCAGGAGTGGGCATGTGACCTAACAGTGGCCAAATCAGAGGCAGCCCTGGGACGTTTGCTGGAGTTCCTGGGAAGGAGGCCTCTTCCTCTGCTAGGCTTGGTATGAAAGCCTGGAGTGTTGGCAATCTTCTTTGCTAGCACTTGGGGAGGACCAGGTTGAGAACTAATCCACCATGAAGACAGCAGAGAAAGACAGGGACAGAGAGAGAGAGAGAGAGAAAGAGAGAGAGAGAGAGAAAGATAGAGAGAGAGAGAGAGAGAAAGAGAGACAGAAATATAGACAGAGAAAGACAGAGACTTCTGAAGTACTAATGACATCCTTAAGCCCCTGGATTCCTCCATGCCTGAAGCCAGTGTGCCTCTGGCCTTCCCATTTCTGTGAGTTAATAAACTCCTATTTTTGCTTTTAATTGAGTTGGAGTTGGGTTTTCTGTCGCTTAGGATCAAAAAGGTCTTAAAGAATAAAGCTTGTCTGGGATCCTGATCACACATTCCCTGGTGTCATAATTCTTCATGAATGCAGCATATGTTTCCCGTATTAGAATACAGCGTCTTGACAGGAGAAGCATGTGCGTTGCAGCTCTGTGTGCTTTGCCACTGCCTGGCATCAGGCCAGAGAGTGGCATCTAGAAGCATCTGGGGTCATGTGGTATCAAAGCTGTGACAAAGGGTCTGTGCTGATAATTGCTTTTAGGTACTTGAGTATATAAAGGTGGTCCCTGGGGCCTAGCAACAAGGGGACGCTTGTCTAATACTGCAGTGTGTGGGTCACTGGAGGTTGGCCTCTCTGGATACCTGTGCACCCATCACCTCCTCTCATTTCCATTAAATTCATTCAGCAACTATGTTACTGACTGTGGGTCAGGCGTGGCTCTCAGGGCAGGGGATATAGCAGTGATTAAAACAAAGCCCCTGTCCTGGTGGGGACAGAGATTAAACACTATTATTGGAGCAAGTTACTTACTCTCTCAAGTCTAAGTATTCAGGGGGGATCAATTCCTCAAAGGGGCAGTTATGAGGATTTAAAGTGATACAAAGTAGTGAGTTCCTTCTCCATAATTAAAGCACAATAAATGGTAGGTAGTATTACTAGCATTATTACAAAGTTACCAGGGATAAATATGTAATTATCAATGGTGGAGGAAGGAAACAAACAAGGTACTCTGAGGGCCCAAAATGGGGCAGTAAATGAGAGATGGCCGGAGGAGAAGGCATGGGGACCAAGACCAGAAGGGAGAGAAGGGCCAGCAGGTGTGTGAGGAACAGGGAGGGTGTCTCGGGCAGAGGGAACACCCTTGGGAGGGTCCAACAGGGGAAAGAGGCTGCTGGGAAAGATGCCGTTTGGCCAGAGTGCAGTAGCAGATGGAAAGGAAGGGAGATGATCCTGGAGGTGGGCACGGGCTCGATGGGGCAGGCCCCACAGAATGCAGATGCCCAGGCAGCTGGGGCAGGAGCGGGGGACCCACTTGCTGATGTACTCCCCGGTGAGGATGACGCTGCAGGTCTGGCACTTGAAGCAGCTGACGTGCCACTGCTTGTCCAGAGCCAGGAGTGACTGGCCATGCTTGATCTCCTCCTTGCACCCGGCACAGTCTGCAGAGACAAGAGGACACTGCTGAGTAAAGCACCCTGGGCCCTTTGACCCCTGCTATCTCAGGCTCACGTTGAGGAAACCCCTCCCTGAACGCCAGTGTTCCCATAGTTGCTCCCACCCTGACACTGGCAGCTGCCCAGAGGCTCTCCCAGGGGAGAGGAAAGGCCACTGGAGCCCTGGCCTCTTGACAAGGGGTCTTGGTGTAGGGGAGAAAGAAAGACGTCCCTGCTTGTCATCAAGACCACATTGTTCACTGAAGGTGGACCCTGCGCTGCTTCCAGCCCTCCTCAAATTGCTAACTAAGCTCTGCTGCTGTCCATGACCTTGCCATCTGCAGTGTCAGCATCACCTGGAAGCTGACAGTGTGCAGCATCGCAGGCCCCACCCAGACCTCTTGAATTTTAACAAGACCTCCATGCAGAGTGAAGTTTAAGAAGCACTGCTCCTAGGGTTGGGCTAAGTATACATTTTTTCAAACTCTTAGGCTATATACTCAATGGCAAGGGCAGTGTTTATATTTTGTGGTTAAATCTATTCCTTTGCCTAGCACAGTGCTCAGCCCATAACAGGAACTCAAAGCATATTTACTGAATGTGTATGAATGAATGGGCCTGATGGTACCCAGGCAACAAACAGAATTTCCACGCCCACCCCTTCCCCATTGTGCTTCACACATTGAACATGTGCCTTCCCAGGTGGCAAGGATTATAGGGCCTGATAAGACTGTCCCAAACCAGAAAGGTGCTCTCACTCCCTGTCATGGTCACCCTGGAATGTGAGTTGGGGCCAACAGAATGTGGGCCAAGCCTAGCATCAGCTTGTTGCTCAATGAATGTCTGGAGAGGGTCTGGAAATGGAGCCAACATCCAAGGCACTTGGCAACTGCTGGGAATTCAGGCCTAGCCAACTGGATGACCCACTTTGGAGAAGGAAAGGGTCATGGGGCAAAGTTGACCAGAGGAAAAACTTCTCTGTTGGCTCCATAAGACAAATGCATACTTGGGAGTAGTGAGGAGAGCAGAAACTGCATGTAAAGTTAGGGGAGGCTGGCTGGACAGCCCCCACATCCAGCTGGGAGACTGTCCTAGAAGAAAAGATGATGTGTCTGCAAATCTAGGAAGGGTGGTGGGTCCAGCCAGCTGTGCGGAGGGTCTGGGGCCCTGATGAAGTGTTTGTATGAGTCAGTTCCCACAGTACTCCGCCTCTTGGCTGTTGCATGCCTTTCTAACATCCCTTAGTACAAGTTGGGGGCAGAAAGGTCTCCACTTGCAAAACGCTTCAAGCCTCAGGCCTTCAGATGGGGGTTGGGAGAAGAAAGAGTTTTGGGATTTATCGCTCTTCCTTTCTATTCTCCTGGGGTAAGTCTATAAGTCTATTTGCACCCCCTGCCCAATAATTAGACTCCAGAATGCAATAGCTTATAGAGGTCAGGTACCCCCTTCTCTTTTACAGATAGACAGGGATCCGAAATGACTTGTCCATGCTCAGTATAGATGAACCCAAGGACTGTAGACACCTGGTCAAGCTTTCTAGGCTACTAGTACTGAACTTGTATCTCTGTGGGCCTCCCCAACAGGGCCTCAACATTCCACGGGGGTTCGGAGCTCACAGAGTCTTTGGTCAAATATCCCACTCAATGCAGTAACCTACAGCATTCTTGACAAGTGGACACTCCTCCTCTGCTTAATCACCTCCAGTAGTGGGCAGTTTAACCCCTCCTGAGGAAGGAGTGGTGAGGAAGTCCACTCTGCCCTTGGACAGCTATGATTGTCATGACTGTCTTCTTTATGTGGAGCCGAGACTTGACTCCTGTGACTGCTCCCATTCTTATGCATCAAGAATAATCTACCTCTTTTCCCATATGACAGTCCTTTCAAAGAATTAAAGACAACTATAGTTTCTCTCTTCTTTATTCCTTACACTTTTTCTTGCTTGACAAGGTCATCCACTGATCAAATTCACTTGTGGATTTCACGGAGAAAGACGTGTTATTGGCAAACAACACAATTCTCCATTTCTTCAAAGAAAACTTATTGCATAGCTGGATCCTTTCATGGCTACATTCTAGTAATGAAAATGAATCCTATCTCTTCAACTTTCAGTGGTACATCTGAGATGAATTTAGCCCCTTGAGTTAAGCTGTAGGAGATAGTACAGCACAGTGGTTAGAGGCTGGGTTGAGAGTTGGAGTGAGTGGTGGGAAGTTGGCCTAGGAGAGAATCCCAGCTCCTTCCCTTATGAATTGTGTGGTCTCTAAGCCCAGACTTACTCATCTGAGTATCTTCCTTAAAACACTGGTGTGAAGGTTAATTAAAATCAGGCCCGTTAGGCCTTAGCACAATGCTTGGCCCATATGTATCCAATAAGTGGTTGTTGTCATTATTATTTCATATCCTCCTGTTTTTAACCCACATTCTGTGCATTACCCAATCTCTGTTCTGAAGTCAGGAGTGATAGTCTTTTTGTAGGGAAGCCTGCTGATTCTCTGTGAGAATTCTGGGACGTCTTCTCCATGTGGCTTTTCTTTTTATGTTATACTGCTGCTCCCCCATTATATCAGCTTCTTATTTATTAGGACCTTTTCTCCCTCTTCTTCCTCCTTTTACTCTTGACCACCAGTGGAGCCTCAGGCATGCCACCAGGGAACCCGTGGGTCTGGTGTAATAAATAGAATCAGGAAAACCACACCCTGTTCCAAGTTGGTGTCTGCAGAGCCAGCTGTCCACTCCTCCATATGTTCCTCTCAATTCCAAAATTACAGTCTTCAGCTGGCAGAATGTATGATGCTACCACCTGTCCCTCACAGATCCCTCAGTTATAAACTGAGGCCTCCTAAAGACATTAGACAGTCATTTTTATCTTTTTTAGACTGTGTCATTCATTCTATTTAAATCAGCAAAAATGAGTGGGTTTTGTGAGTCATAGCAAGCTCCGTACCTTGTTTTAGGCAACTAATCCAGGAAGACTAGACACTTCCCAAGTTGCAAGTCATGTCTCTGGTACAGGGTGTTAAGGGAATAGGATCTAAGGCCAGACTGGCTGCTCTCACATTCTAGTTCCATTATTCGTTATCTGGGTGACTTTGGGCAAGTCATTTATGCTCACTGAGTCTCAGTTTTCTCATCTATAAAATAATCACTCTTATCTCCCTCATAGGGTTGTTGTAATGATTAAATGAAATCTTCTGCAAAAAACACTTAGTGAGGTGCTTGACAATAGTAATAATCTATGTTAGTGGTGGTGATGGTGGTGGTGGTGGTATTGTTGGTGCTGACAGTGTTGGTGGTGATGATGATGACAGTGGTGATGGTGGTAATAATATTGGTGGTGATGGTGTTGATGCTGCTGGTGATGGTGATAGTGGTAATAGTGGTGATTATGCTAGTGTTGGTGATGGTGGTGGTGATTGTGTTGGTGGTGCCAATGGTATTGATGGTGATGGTGGTCTTGGTCATAATGGTGATGAGGGTGGTGATGGTAGTGATGATGGTAGTGATCGTGTTGGTGGAGACACGGTGTTGGTGGTGATCGTGGTGGTGGTGTCAATGGTGTCGGTCATGATGATGGTGGTGATGGTGGAGAAGGTGATGGTGATGATGGTGGTGGTGGTGGTGGTACTGCTGCTACTGCATCTGATTGTTCTCAATGAGGTTTTTGCAGTATTTGGCAACAGTAACAGTTAATCAGTGTTAGCAATGATGGTGGTTATTGCGGTAGTAATGATGGAGGTGGTGGTGGTGGTGGGGATGATGGTAGTGATCGCGTTGTTGGTGACAGTGTTGTTGGTGGTGATGATGGTGGTGGTATTGATGGTATTGTTCATGATGATGGTAGTGATGGTGAAGATAGTGGTGGTGATGATTGTGGTGATGATGGTAGTAGTGATGATAATGATAATGGTGGTGGTGTTAGTGATGATGATGGTGAGGGTAGTGGTGTGACAGTGATGGCAATGGCAGTGATGGTGGTGATGTTAGTGATGATGATGGTTATGGTGGTGGTGTGATGGCAATGGTGGTGATGTTAGTGATGATGGTGATGGTGGTGATATGATGGTGATGGCGGTGGTGGTGCTGTTGCTGAGACTGCTGCTGATTCTTCTCACTGAGGTCTGTGCAGTGCCTGGAAATAGTAACAGTCAATCAGTGTTTGCAATGATGATGGTTATTGTGGTGGTGGTGATGGTGATGGTGGAGTTTCTGCTGCTACTGTTGCTGATTCTTCTCAGTAAGGCTGGTGAGGAAACATTTCTTCTACCTGTGGTAACAGAATTATTTTCTCTTGATAGTTCTTGAGTATTTTTCTTGGTCTTTTTGGAGTAGACACTGCTCCTGATTTTCCAAAATATTTTTATTTACTCTCCAGAGATGAAACGTCACACTTGTAGCTTAAAAAAACCCAATTATTTTGTTCTTCTTTTCCTTTTCCATGATATATTCTTTTTCTTAGCAATCTCTTAAACCTGGCTTTGGTTTCCTGTATCCGATGGGAGCTCAGAAGGCCTTCCAGCACCCCATCTAGTCAGGAGCTACTTTGCATTTGCAGCATGAATAGTGACCACCTTTGGAGAAAATACCTCTGTAAAACATATCACTGTAGATCCATGGATTGATGTCTTTACTTTGTGAGTAACAAGATAAGCTATAATACTAAGTATGCCCCCACTGGAAACTGCCCAGGTGCTCATTTTCTCCTCTTGACTCACTTTTTCCTCACCTTCTTCCACCTCCTAAACATCCAAATTATGGTGGACACATTTGGGAGCCTTTCTTTGAAAACACACTCACATGTGAGACTCCCACATTCAGCTGAAGAACTATCCCACCTAACACAGTCGGTGATAGGTGCAGCACAAATGCATACAGTAACACACAACCCAAACTAGGGGAAGTAACAACCGACCCAGGAGTCTTAATCGCAATCTCTTTTGGTGTGCTTTCCATATTAAACCTCCACACCAATATCATCCCTCACTCTGTATTTATAGAGCATTTTATACACTGCAATGCATCCTAGTTTGATCCCCGAACTAATACATTTGCTTTCCCCAACACTCCCGTGAGGAAGATAGGAAATTCTATCCCTCTTTCATAACTGGGTAAACTGAGTCTCAGGGAGGCTTCGTGACTGCTTTGCAGCATGCAGAAGTTTGGCAGCCTCCCAACTCAGGCTCACTTCTCCCTCTCCTGCCTCACACATGGCCCCATCAGTCTCTGGGGTCCTCAGCACTGGCCACAGGGTCGTGGTCCCACATCCCAGCCTCCTTGTTTTTCTGTCACTCTGGATGATGCTTTCAAGGAGCTGTGAAGGATAACACTGTATGCACTCAGCCACCTTGACATGGAAACCTGGTTGGAGCAGCGATCTATTCTTGAGCATCATCAAGGACGCCAAAGGAAGGGCTGTGCACATTCCAGGAACAGATCCGATTTGGCTGAAAGGAAGAGGAGGCAAGGGAGGGAGCCTTCTCACTGTCTTTCTCCTCAGCTCACCACAGCTGGACGGACTCCAGAGAAGCCCCTGGGAGCTAAGCCCTGCTGACTCGGGGTGATCTCTGCTCACTCTCTCTGGCTGGATGCAGCCCAGCATGCTGACTCTGCTGGTACCATGGCCAACAGCACCCTGCACCCGCACAGTGATGCAGCACAGGAGGCTAATGGGTTTTCATTGATTCTCTTGTCCAGGCCAGTGAGAGTGTCATATAACATGAAAGAACACTGGAGCCTAGTGTAGCTTACCAAGACCCAGGGGGCCAGGTCTATGTGTGTGTGGGCACGTGCAGCAGCAGTCTGCCAAGGGCATCTGGGAACAACGATTGAGACATCTTATCGCTAGGCACACTTGAGTGGGATGGACATCCCACAAATTAGCATGACCATTCTGAGGCGTGCTCCTGGTCCTCAGTTTCCCTCCAAATCTGTGGTTGGTGATAAAACATAACATTCATCATGGCATGACAGATGCTTCCTTTATCCCTAGATGGTGGTTCTGAATCTCAGGAACAGCAAATGAATCACCCAGGAAGCTCACTAGGAATGTTGATTCCTAGGTTCCATCCCTAGAGGTGCAGGGTGAGCCCAGACATTTGCATTTTTACAAGTCCCACAGTGAAGCTGATGCAGTGGTCTATGGGACCCTCTAAGAGGCACTAACACGGTTCTTGTGGTTTGCTCCCAGGGCACCCCATACTACCTCTTCTGTAAGCCATGTCCGCCAATTCTTATTAGTGGAGTCAGTAAAAATTCAGAGCCACTGGTGAAAAAAACATTTGATCAGCCCTATTGAGGTATCCGTGGGACCTAAGATCAGGAACTCAGCTTGTCCCAGAGGAGACATACCATGTGGCAAATATGTGGCACTGGCTACCACTGTTTATGGCCAGGCAGCCCCTCTTCTCTGCATTGTTCTTGTGAAACTTGTGAGTCTGGGCCACATATCAACAGGGTCATGATGCAGGAGGCCTCCAGGTCGCGAACCTCTCCTACTTCCCTCCAGGCCTGTGGGAGCAGTTGGCAGTGCTGGGAAAGGGGAGCCCAGGGAGATCACACCCATGGACAGGGAGATACCCATGGGGAGGACTCACGGCTTGGTCCACGAATCTTGATGGGCTTACTGCTGGCCATGGACTGCGAGCACGTTTGGCACACACATTCTTTACCGCTGAAGGTCACCTTGTCTCCAATGGGGAAAGGCTTCCTGCAAGTGGGATGAGGGAGAAATTCAACACACCGTCTTCTGAGGGATTCTGTAGCTGACCACACATGTGCCCAAAGCACTTTGGTAACACATACAGCTTGACTTCTAGAGCACCACGCAAATTCAAATGCTGTTCACAGTGACAGGCCAACTAAACTGTTCAATTAGGGGCCTGGTGGCGAGAACTGGAGCCCAGTTGGGGTGTTGGTGTATTTTGGGCAGATCATGATGCTTATCTGAGCTTACATGTCTGGGTTGTAAGAAGCAGAGGTTACTAACTCCTCATATACTTGTTCTCTCTCCTGGAAGGACTTTTTCCATCCCAATTTGATCTATTCCCATATGTCAAGGATTCATTCAACTCCCAAACTTACCAAAATTTCTTCCTTTTACTACTCAGGCATTTTTCAAAATCCCCCTTTCCAATAGGAAGTTTATAAGTCTGTAAATAATCTCTTCCTCTCCTCCTCCGGATTTATTCAGTTTCCACAGCTTAGGAGTCTCAAATTGGTACAGGCTCTGCCTCCCCAACTAAATTATGAACCGTGTACAGAATCCCGGGCACCACCACGCCCACTGTTGAGCTGCTCTCGCCCATGCAGTGGGATGCCTGTTACGAGGACTCTGGGCACAGCACCTAACATTGGCTCCCAGGGACTCCATTGCCCTTGTATCAGCACTGTGGCACAACGGAGGGAGCACTGGGTCAAGAGTCGGGGGAGCTGTGTTCTTATCGTGGCTCAGCCACTACCTTGTGGTAGAAAGACATCGCATGATCTTGGGGAGTCACCTCATCTCTCTGGGGCTTGAGAGAAACCTCATCTTGTACCATAGGAACCCTCTATGCTAACCTCTCATGGGTCTGGGATTCCAGGGCTCAGGGCTCAGGTTTTAAGAGCTGAGTAGATGAATGAATTCCATGAGAGGATTACATTTTCTTACACACTGTGTCATTAGTCTCAATCAGAAACTCTAGTTATTCTAACTGGTAAGTGACTGGTGGTTATTTTGTGGGGAGAATAATTAATCTATACATTCCTTTCCCAATTAAAAAAATACATATATACTCCAATCATGCTTTACTTATGATGTAATCAGAGCTATCCATTAACATTTAATGTATTTGTGGGCAGGGCTGAACTTTCTTCATTTTTTCATCTCCTTAATGTGTTGCTTGGCATTCAGTGAAGTCTTAATGTACACTTGCTGAATTAACAAGTGATGGAGATGCAGAGGGTGAAGCAGGAGGCAGTGATGAGCTCTCCATCCCAAGAGATGTCCCGAGAGCAGGTAGATGACTATCATCATGATAATGAAAGGAATAATAAAAACAGACACTCTCACATACTGGTCACTGAGCTAATGTCTTTGCATCATTATCTCATTAATCTTCAAGAAAACCCCGTGAGGTTGGATTGGCTTTGACCTCCATTTTACTGGTGGAGAAACTGAGGCTTACAGAGGTGGGGGTCACTTGCCAGGGTCACTCCAACAGCATGAAGTGGTGCCAGGATGATGGAGGAAGGCTATGAACAGACATCCCTGTCCCACCTGTGGATGAGGGTGTGGGAGGCTGGGCCTGATCCACAGTTTCCAAACTGAGTTCTGAGAGACTCAGTGGTTTCTTTGGGGCCTTTTGAGAGGAATTGGGAGGCTGAGTTTGGAGGTACACATCCTCACTCTGCCTATCACAGGACAAACCAATGTTTTAGATCAGATTGTATTTTATAAGAAAGATTCAGATGCAACAGTGTTTGAAAACCACTGGCCCATCAGATCCCTCCACACCTGAGGTTCCAGAAATCTAAGTGCCTAGCATAAACCTTGTACACCCCAGAATTTCCTGGAAAAAGCCAGGTCTTCCCCTGCCCCGGGGGCTTATGCAGAGGGTCCCAGTCCCTGCTGGTCACCCGCTCACCTGCACAAGCTGCACACGAAGCACTTGGGGTGGTAGGTGCGGCCCAGGGCCGAGATGACTTCGCCTGTGATGAAGTCCCGGCAGCTGTCACAGCGGGTGCCATAGAGTTGCTGGTAGTCCTGGGTGCAGATGTACTCCTGGTTCTTGAAGAAGAAGCCTGACTGGGCCAGGCCACAGCCACATACTTGGGGAAACAAGGAGGAAAACAAGGAGGAAAACAACGGCAGGTTGAGTGCAGGGAGGGTCTGCAAGCAGAAGGTCCTAACTGGGGGAAATGCTGGTGTCTGACTGTGTCATGAGTGGCCACAGAATGGTAACATGTCAGACTTCACAGGCCTTTGGGGCCAGAATTCCTTAAAGAATGGCCAGTAGGCCACTAGCATCGGTATCACCCTGAGAGCTTCTTACAATCCAGATGCCTGGGCCTGAATCAGACTTCCTGGAACTGAGGCCGGGGCATCTGCATTTGAACAGCACTCCCCAACCCCACTAGGTTGACTCTGATGCACACTAAGAAGCACTGATGTGTACATTCCTCCCAACACACAGATGAAAAGTTTAAGCTGTGCAGCTCACGCAAGGCTGCACAGCTGGTGGAAATATGAATGTAATAAAAGAACCAATCAGTTAAACATTTCCTGGGTACTTCCTATATGCATGATTCTGTGCCAGGTGAAGAGCAGTGTGGGGACCATATGCTCCAAATCCCAACCTGGAGATACCTTCGGATGGCAATGGGATGGATGATTTGAAGTCTAGAATCTGTGCTCACCATAGCCATAAGGAGTGAGGGGTGTCTATTCCCAGGCAGGAATAATAAAACACAATCCCTGAATTTCAAAGAGCTAAAAATGCTGCAGGGAGAAGATCATATAGAAAAAAATGTCCCATCTCATCGGTGACGGGCCACAGAGCCAGTGCAAGCAGTAAGGACTGTGAATGAGGTAGAAGAAAGAAGCCTTGTCGGTTGCAAGGGATCATGGGAGGCTTTTCAGAGGAGGTAGCATCTGAGTTGAACACTAAAGGAACAGAATGAGCCAAAGCACAGAGGCAGGAAGGTGCAAGTGATATTTGATTTGTGTGAAGGCTAGACGTAGGGGTGGTGTTTGTAGGAAGTGGTGAGAAGTAATGCAGGAAAAGATTGTTCAGACCAGTTGGAGGAAGGCCTGGATCCAGTTTAAGAAGATTAGGTTTTGTAGGATACTGAGGAGCCATGGATGTTTTTTTCCCTAGTTTAGAAAAATTTAGACAAATATCTCAAACATATATAAAAATGGGAGAAGACTGTAATAATTCTCCATCACTCAGCTGCAAAAATGATCAATTGCACTGATGGCTTTTGAACAGAGATGCAACAGGATTTTACAAGGCGTTTCATAAAGTCTCTTGGAATATTCTTTTGGATAATAGGGATAAATAAATGTAGGACAAAATAGAAAAACAAGTAGATTTTTAGGTGTTTGAACAATTGAATTATGTGAGATCAACCCTGACTTAGAAATACGAGATTTTCCTGTAAGGAGTTAAGTTGTGACATGAACGCATTATGGGCAGAGCAGAAAGATGCAAAATTTCTTCCAAGGGAATAAATGGCTCGCAGGGCCACCAGAGCTGTAGTAACCCACTGAATGTACCGATCAGCTAAAGCAAGGATGTGCCAGCCAGGAAGGGGGCTGGTTAGCAATCAGTGGAAGGCAACTGGGGGGCCCATTTAAATCCTGTCACCAGCTCCCCTGGTTCTGAGGCTGCTGTCTGATGGACTGACTTTTCACCTAGATTGCCTCTGAGAGGCCAGGTGCTGGCCAGGCCACCGTGAAACAGTCCAACTCAAGGTCACACCTCTTGTCTACATTGATGAACAGGTATTCTGGCTTTCTACATCAGTTTCCTGAGGACTTGGTTAGTACAAGTCAGCTTTCTCAAGGGTGATCAATGATGGGAAAACCAATAAGATAGTTACCAAGCCTGTAAGTCTGAAGAGTCAGCCTGGAACTGAGTGAAAACACCCCAGCAAATACTACCTCACCTTTAACACAGAAAGTTGTTTCACAAAAGCAGCCAGGTTAAAAATAAGAGAGAGTGCCAGGTCAATGCCAGGAATATTTCATAAGTGTTTGTTCACCTCTGGGGACTGGAGGCTTAAGGGGTGAGGCTGAGTGAGGAGGAGGCAGCTTCAGAAGTCACTGCCTGGGGGGAACAGCTCAGGACAGTGGGAGACACAATGGTCTGAGAGTCAGACCACCCAACCTCTGGTCTCATCACTGAGTAGAACTGCCACGCTGTAAGTCTATGAGAAGAAAAGCTTCCTTTAGGGCTTACTCTACACCTAAACATTTTAAACTCAGTGTGGAGCATTGCTTGTGACCCCTGACTCCACCCCTATGAAGAGGCAGGAGTATGGTGGAGACGGTGGTGGTGGCAGAAATCTGGGAAGGGTTCATCTTCCATCAGGCATTATGAAAATTCATCACATCAAACCATGTCTGGTCTCACGAGCAGGCAAAGCCAGAGCACAGGCTGTTCTGGGCCGTGCAGGTGGTGGAGCAATTGACTTCATGGCTGTGGAATCAATTAGGTCATGGCCTACAACCTCACTGGAAACAGCTCCTGTTTTTTCCCTTTTTTTTTTTTTTCTCCTTTGTCTCCCTTGCCAACTCCACCCCCAGAGCCACCTCTCCCAGTGGAGAAATCCAGGCGACCGTAGGAAAACTTGGAACAATCAGTCCTCCATTTCTCCCAAGGAACTGAAGGAGGAAGTTTTTGGTAGAAAGGATGTAAAGGTTGATAAGTCTCTCAGGGGTTCCTGGAAATACAGCGGGGAGCACAGGGATGGAAGGCAAGCTGGACCAGCATGACAGATGGATCTGAGGCTGAGTGGAGCCAGACATTCAAATAACAGGAAAGCCACGGAGAGGGTTTGCAGTACGGAACTGATGTGGAATGAATATACCTGGGGCAGTCGTTATTCTGTGAATCAAAAAAATGAAGTCTACCAATTAAAAACAGCAGACCATATGGATTAACAATGGAATAGAACATTGAACGTTAAAACTGCTTTGAGCAAATCCAGTATAAATGCTCAATGTAAATATAAGGCCCAGAAGGAGGGCTTGCACACAGCCCCGGAATGTGTCAGTGAACAATGTGCTATTTTGTAGGTTACTGGACCTTTGTCTGTGGTCCTGTTCTAGCACCCAAGTGCTGGGAGATTTTGAAAAAGTTACCCCAGCCCTCTGGAGCTCATTTGTAAGATGAAGGGGCTGGGTGGTTAACTGAGGACACACCTAGATCAGAAAGTCCAAGACTCTGTGATACAATTTTAGTGATTTTCAGCTTTTCGGATGAGACTGGATTTTATGGAATTTCAAAATCCAAGAGTTAGAAGAGTCCCTGAGGGTGATCTAATTCATTATTTAGAACATGTCATTGTGAAATATACTATACATAGAGAAAATGTATAAAATATATATGTACGGTTTAAGGAATAGTAAAATAACTCCCAAGTACCCACTACTGAGTTTATGAAACAGAACACTGCCAATTTCATAGAAGTCTCTCCTCTCCGTAAGAGCACCTCTGTCCCATACTGTCCCTAATTATGTGTTTACCATTCCCTTGCTTTACTTTATAGTTTTACACCTGTGATGTATCCATCAACAATATTTTGTTTAGTCTGACCTGTTTTTGAGCTTTATGTTGATGGAGTCATACGGCAATTGTCCCATACCTGCTTCATTCCCTCAGTATTGTGTGTTGAGATTCATCCACATCAATGCACGTAACTGCTGTTCACTCATTTTCACTGCTGTGCTGTATTCCATTACCTGAATACATCACAGTTGGTCTACTCCACTGCTGAAGGGCATTTGAGCTACTTGCAGTTTTTTGTGGGGTAATAGCTCACTGTTTTCCAAAGAGCTTTTCCTATTTACCTTCCCACCAGCAGTTCCCACTGATAGATATCATCAACAGTACTTAGTAATATCTGACATATTTGGTCAACATAGTGGATGTGAAATGATGCCATTTATAATTTTGTGATTTCAAATTTCATTTGCCTAATGATTAATGAAATTGAGAATTTTTTTCAAGTGTTAAAATACCTGCTAATGTTTTTTGCTCATTTTTTAAATTTTAGACTTGTAGAAATTCTTAATATATTTTGGAAATCAATCCTTTTTCAGTCATTTATTACAAATATCTTCTGCAATTTGGGGCTTGCTTTTTGCTCCCCTTTTCTTGTTTTTGGATGAACCAAAGTTCTCAGTTTTTATGTTGCTGAATTTGTGAATCTTTTCCTTTATGGATTGCCCTTTCTGTGTCATGTTTCAGAAATTATTCTCTACCCTGAAATCCTAAAAGATATCTCCTATATTGTCTTCTAAAAATTTTATTGAGCTGCCTTTCATAGTAAAACTGTTAATCTACCTGGAATTGACTTTAGGGAATGATATACAGTAGGGATCTGATTTTCTCCCACATGGATAATTAATCATCTCAGCATCATTTATTAAGCAGTCTAATCTTTCCCCACTGATCTGCAAAAAGCAAGTTTCCATATATATGGAAGTTTGTGTTTAGTTCTATATTCAGTTCCATTGGTCTATTGATCTCTCCTTAATCCAAGATCACATGGTCTTAATAGGTTTTAATAACAAATGATGATATCTGGTAGGACAGGCCCTCTTGCTTTGTTGTTCTTTAGGAATGCTTTGATTATGCCTGGCCTTTGTCAAGAATAGAATTTTAACTGATTTCTTAATTTCTATGGAAAGCCTTACGGAATGTATTAGAATTGTTTTGAATATATAGTTCAACCAGAGTAGAACTGTCATCTTTTTGATATTTCTATCTTTCTATCAGAGAACTTAGCATATTAAAAAATTATTTAGGTCTTTAATGTCTTTCTTATGATATTCTATAAATTTAACAATTTTATAATTTTTATCTTATACAACTTTATAAAATTTATTTCTAAATTAAATTTTTTTCTTGTTCAGGTAAATGGTGTCTTGATTGTTAATGGTGAATACAAATGCAATTTTTTTCTATATTTATTCTGTATTTAGTAACCTTAATAAACTCTTATTGACTTTCTTTTTAGTATTATTATTTCAGAATGTATCTCTAAAATATTAGGATTCTTTAAAAAAGTCAGCCACAATAATCTAAAAGCATTGAAAA